AAAATTATCAGGGGAAGCTGCAAATCTCCCTCCCATGGGAGGTCAGCCTGGGGCCCTCTTTGTTCAGGCAAGTGAAGATTTTTCTCTTTAGGAAAGATGTTTCTCAGTAACTGGCTGGTAGGAAGGAGCTGCTGTTTTTCCCCCTTCTCTATTTCCAGTGTTTACATTGTTTTAACATTGTAAGCTGCCTTGAAATCTTTTGAGAAAGAAGGTGGGATATACGTATTTTAAATAAGGAACAATAAAATAAAAATGGTACACTAAGAAGCAAGACATACATATTACTATATTTGAGGGTCTTCCTTCTCCCTTCAACAGTGAACTCAGCTAGTTGATCACTTTTCAGTTTTGATGCAAAAAGAGCCATCTCACCCCACCTCCCACCAACGAGGCAGTGCTTCCATATGCTTGGAGTATCTTTATGTTCTATGTACTCAGGATACAACTGAGTATACGGAGGTAGATAGAGATTTAAACTGAAACCAGAAATTGGATGAAGCCTTTCATCTGTAAGTCATACAAAGACTAAGAAGGTGTTATACTATTGGAACCACCATCCTACATCAAATACCTGAGCTGACTCTGTCCCTCCAACACCTACACAAAGTAGATTTACTGATTCAGTGGAATTACCTAAGTGTTACTTTCCATTGAGCATCTGAATCAATGGGTCTACTCTTTATTGGGTCTAGCAGCAAGACACTTTGTGTAGGCATCACTAAAGCTCCTTTTCAAATACAGTAGTGCCTCGCAAGATGATTTTAATTAGTTCCGCGAAAATCGTGTTGTGAAAAATCGTCTTGCGAAGTTCCTTATGCATCGGTCTCAAAAAAAAGTCTTGCGAAGCATGGGTATTTAAAAAATGTCCTGCGAAGCACCGGTCTTTAAAAAAAAGTCTTGCGAAGCACGGTCATAGAAAAAAACATCTTGCGAGGCACCATAGTGATCACAAAACTCAATCGTCTTGCGGGTTTTTTGTCCCGCGAGGCAATCATCTAGCGAGGCACCACTGTATCCTCAGACAAGGTATGGGGTTTGGAGGTGGCACACAGCTCTAGTCCTTGGTAATCATGTGAAGGCAGCATAATCAACCTTCTCATTTCTTTAGTCCAGCCATGTTTTCACCATGCAGCTCTTAGGTGCATGTTCCAAAGGTCATTTACTTATAAGTCAAAAACCTGTATACTTCTGCTTATCTTGGACACTCTAATGCTTCCTGTGTAACAGGCAACCACAGAGATCAAGTATAGGCAACCAGCAAACCAGGGGAACAATGCTCCTCCTCCCACCCAAGCACTGTAGGCCACACCCCTCTTACCAAATTCTGACAACAAACCAGACAGCTGAATTGCAGTGACAATTGTACTGAAACAAGGAGGAAAACACTTGTTTCATTGGTTTCCTCTAATTTTGCCACTGAAAGTCCCTTCAAAGTGAGTGTTTCTCCCTTTTTAACTGGCTGTGAAATGGTTTGCAGATAAAATATGATATTTTGGTTGGAAAAGTATTCTTCCAGCCAACAAGATACTGTAATGTGAGCCACTTTAAACACCTGGAGTGCTGTATAAATGTTGTAGTACTTCCCATTTTGCAGCCTTAGCCTATCAATCTTCAGGAAGGAGCAATCTCTACTTTCAGTCCCTGTATGACACCATTCTCTAAAATCTGCCTATTTTGTAGCCCCAATTCAAAATTTTAATTTGTACTATGGGGTAAGGATTAAATTGGTCTGCTCTTTAAGAATTCTGCTAGCCCCAGACTCTAGAGAATGTCACTGCAGAGATACATTTTCCCAGTCCTTGGGGGAAAAAATTAAAGGAAACTGACAGAGGTTGGGTCAGCACTCAGATCTAAGCTCAACAGATCTCAATTAACACTGCCTTCTAATCTTAACTGAAAAGCATTCCTTTAATTTCACATTTATATCTAAAAACTCAACCTGATGGACAGAATTCTGTTGGAATATCTGTACCTACAGGGATAATTGCACAAGTGGTTTATGCCCTCAGTTGCGTGATGAGTTGTCACACAATGGTCAGCCCACCACAGAGTGCAAACTGCATGTGCAATTTTCACTGTGCATATAGGTCTTTCAAAAGGATTCTGGGTGATGATTTCTTCAGATTCACTGCAAGAATCTAAGCCAATCATACATCTTATGTATTTACTTTAATTATCACAACCTATTCTAAAAATGGAGAAATGGAACATGTATGGCATACCTGCAATGTGCAGTTTTCTTTCCGTTTCAGGAACTCCACAAATCTGGCCACCACTCCTGGTGTACTGATGACTTCATCTATAGGAGGATTTGGCTCTGTTTAGAGATGCGGAACGGATTAACCTCGCTATGCGAGGCACCACTGTATATCTAAAAACTTAACCTGATGGACGGAATTCTGTTGGAATATCTTGCACCTACAGGGATAATTGCACAAGTGGTTTATGCCCTCAGTTGCGTGATGAGTTGTCACACAATGGTCAGCCCACCACAGAGTGCAAACTGCATGTGCAATTTTCACTGTGCATATAGGTCTTTCAAAAGGATTCTGGGTGATGATTTCTTCAGATTCACTGCAAGAATCTAAGCCAATCATACATCTTATGTATTTACTTTAATTATCACAACCTATTCTAAAAATAGAGAAATGGAACATGTATGGCATACCTGCAATGTGCAGTTTTCTTTCCGTTTCAGGAACTCCACAAATCTGGCCACCACTCCTGGTGTACTGATGACTTCATCTATAGGAGGATTTGGCTCTGTTTAGAGATGCAAAGAATGTTAACATTATAGCTTCCCCCACCTCTACTGAAGTTACATATTTACATAAGAACAGAACATAAAGTCATATTTAAGCAACTGACACCAGCTATTTACATATGACCAACGCCCTCTAGTACCATGCACTGATTAGCAAGTTACTTTCCTGCTTGCCACAGTTTCTCCAGTTTAATGCCCTGGGATTACATAACTAAAGGGCAACGTTTCATCAATCCCGAGAAGATCAAGAACAAAGACTGCTTCCCAGGAAAAATATATGGCAAAAGGGTAACAGTAACAGCAGCTAGAAGATGTGCTGTCTGAAAGAACACCTGTGAGAGTGGTGAATGCCTCCTTGCAACAGGGTGGGATCGCAGCATGCTTAAAGAAGGCAATAGTAAGACCATCGTTGAAAAAGTCCTCCTTGGATCCCACAATACTGAATAATTATCAACCAGTTTCTAATATCCCATTCTTGGACAAGGTACTGGAGCAAGTCATGGCTTCTCAGCTCCTGGGGTTCCTGGATGAGACGGATTATCCAGATCTATTTCAGTCTGGCTTCAGACCTTGTTATGGGACAGAAATTGCTTTAGTTGCCTTGGTGGATGACCTGCATCAGGAACTGGGCAGGGGAAGTTTGTCCCTGTTGGTTCTGCTGGACCTCTCAGCTGTTTTTGATACCATCAACCATGGCATCTTTCTGGCACTGGACTTAGACTTTTAAATATAGTAGACTGTTGTGCCCTACTGCTTCGAATGTGTTTTGGTGCTGCTTTTGTTTACCTTTTTTTGTGTGGTATTTGTCTGATCCTTTTTAGTATTTGCATAATTTGCATCTTCAAATATTATCCTTTAATGATGTACGCTGCCTTGGTTTACATACTTTTCTCCTTTTTTGAATATTTGAAATTAATTAATTAAGAGGATCTAGATCTGAGCCACATTTTTCCTCCTTCCACTTTTCCTCCCTCCCTGCTTGCAGTTCTCTCTCTCTCTCTCTTTCAGTCTCTCTCCTTTTCAATCTAGGGCTGCTGGGCAGCAGCAAAATTACTCTTTCAATATGCATGTGTCTGTGTAGTTCAGCAAGAGCAGATTGTGGCTCTATATGCAAAGGGAATGGAGTCACCACATCCATATGAGGGCCGTACACTACCCCCTACAGGCACATAAGGAGACAGGAATGAAGGCTTCATAATATTTATCAAAAACTGCATAAGAGCTTGTTTTTCCCATTTAATGTTACTTAGTTAATTTATTCCTTCCAATCCTGTGATTCAAAATAGCTCGGAATATAATTAAAAAATAAACACAATTAAAACACAGTTAAAGTCACTACAATATTAAAACACAATTAAACAGATGATCAAAATGAAACAATACACAAATTTAAAGAGTATCAGCTAAGAAACACTTGCTAATTTCAACCATCATGTCTGAATTTATTCATGTGATCAATCCTCCACTCTAAATGGTTTATTTTGGAAGAGGGAGAAGTGGAAGGAACAAGCATTGGGAATTTCTGTCTCTGATGTATAGTAACTCTTCAGATTCCAGACACTGAGAATTTCTATCTCTCTCTCTCTCTCTTTAACATGTTACTTCTTCTGTAATTCCAGGAAGTTCTGGAACTGCTTTAGCATTGCCTTGAGACCTTACTCTGCTCCAAACTGAGATCACAATGTTATGCATTTTGGATCCCCTGCTTCACGCAATATTAATTAAAATAATATTTTTTCACATACTTCTAACAGATCAGAGGAGCACAGAAAAAACAATGGTCCAACAATGACATTTAACACAGTATGGGATAAAATTAAAATCTCAATATTCTCTCCATGGAGATTTCAATAAAAGAAATGCAGTATGACTGCTCTCTCACATACATACCAACATACATTTTTAGAATACCACAGCAGGTCCTTTACTATATAAGGCAGCAGTCCCCAACCTTTTTGGGACCGTGGACCGGCTGAGCCTCCGAGGAAGGCGAGGCAGCCCCCACGCTTGCGCAGATGCGCGCGCACTCGGGCACATGCGTGAAGCAGTGGGGGAGCGGGTGCACACCTGCCAGCACCAGCATGAGCACTCCCCCACCCCTTTGCGCATGCGCAGGAGCCCCTGCCCGTCCGCCCCTTTGTGTGGGTGCTCAGGCACATGTGTGAGGGGGTGAGGGAGTGCTCACGCCAGTGCTGGCATGCACACACATGTGCACAGCAGCTGTGGGGAGGGGAGTACTTGCGGGGGGCCTGACTGGGGGTTGACTACCTCTGATATAAGGGAATGCAAATGCTTACACATAAATGAGGCTGGGATTTGTTTAGCAAAATGCTCCATTTGCTTTGTAACTATTCAAACTGAATCTTTTCCCCCTAGTAATCCTGGATGAATACTAACTCACTTCTCTAACATGCAGGAGTATATTTTTTTTCCTCAGCTGAATACTGGATATCAATATTTTTGCATTAGTAACCACAAATTAGCAAAATTAATTACTTTTCTAAACCTTGCCTTCCTTCTCTTCTTCTTTGCTTGGATGCAGACAACTTATCTTGTCAAATGGCTTAGATCACAGGTGGGCAACCTATGACATGCAGGCCTTATTTCATTCTGCTTCTGGCCCGCAAACCTGAGCCTCACCTATTTTTTTGCTGCAGTCAAAATCATCTGTTATCAGCTAGAAGATGAGGAAAACATAATTTTTCTATACCTGCTATATTAATTTTGATCCAAATGGTTTGGGACAGAAACTTAAACCTTCCTTCATCTAAACATTTTAGTCCATCTGAGATTGAGAGAACAGAAGGACAGCTTATTTCCTAGTGATCCTGATACATATTTGGTGAACCCACATGAATTTAGATGAAAAGGAAACTTTTAATTTAGTATCAATGCATATTGGTTGTCCTGAATCTCAAAGCTCAGATAGAACCCACTCATTGCTTTTAATGTTTTAATGGCCCAATCTTTACTGTCCTTCTGAAAGCAGGCAAAGACCTTTCTCTTCAGGCAAACTTTCCCTGAGTGAATGACTGGTGAGTGGATTTTTTTTAAAAAAATGAATTGTTGTACCTTACCACACTGAATGTGTTTTGGTGTTGCTTTTTTAGTATTGTATTCATCGATCCTTTTAGTATTGTACACTCACTGTTATATGCTTAAAAACTGTCTTTTAACTGCTGTGAGCCACTTTTTAAAAGAGAAAGGCAGCTTAAAATATTTTAAACACACACACACATAGATGGTGAACAGAGTGGAGGAGGAGACAAAAATCATGAGGGACACTGTAAGTCACAGATGTGCTGTCTGAAAGCTGGAGTGACATGAGGCCCCCTACCAAGTCTGAAGGTGGCCTTTGCAGGAGTGATCTCCAGCACATACATAGTACAGAGACTAGTCCCTCCTTGGTATTGCTAGCAGTGATGGAAGAGCAAACAAGAACTGCTGGGAGAAAAGGCCCCTTGTTCTCTCCTTTAGAGATACAGTGGTGCCTCGCATAACGAGCGCACCGTTTAACGACGAATTCGCATAGCGATCTGTTTTTTGGGATCGCTAATGCGATCGCATACCGATGCTTCCTATGGCTGAAAATCGCTTTCCATAGCAATTTTTTTAAACAGCTGATCGGCGGTTCCAAAATGGCCACGTGCAGCGTTTTCGCGCCCTGCCCTCGCTTACCGAGGGCGTGAAAATGGTGGCCGGATGGGGAAACATCACAGAACGGTGAGTTTTGGGCCCCACTGGAACGCATTAAACGAAGTTTAATGTGTTCCAATGGGTTTTTCCGTTCTGTATAGCGATGTTTCGCATTGGGCCGGTTAATCCGGAACGGATTAACCTCGCTATGTGGGGCACCACTGTATTTATACAGAATCCCTTTTCCTTGTTAGAATGATTAATGTAAAACAGGACTGTGGGGTAGGGATGAGGTGAAAAGGGCAGTGGACAGGAGTCTCTCCGGTCCCTCTCTGTACTGAAAAAGGATCACTAGGCTGTATATACATGCCCTCCCCCATGCCTGAGCCAGTATCACATAGCGCCTTCTGGGCCTAAGATTGTACACCTCTGTCATAGGCCAACTGCATCAAAGAGTAGTCTACGGACACCATTCTGATGAACTGCCCTCCATGAAAGACATGATGGATCCCTGCACTGTGCCAAATGCCATCCCAACCAGGCAGTCCAGCAGCAATCATAAAGAAAGCATGAAATTCTAGTTTTAAAAACTATCTTTAGCAGACGGTGTGCCAGTTTGGGGATGGGATGGGAAAGCTGGTCAGTGGTAGAGGTAGAGGTCAGAATCTTGGTTCTCATCATGGAGCACAAGTGCCTGCTTGTGCATAGCTCCATAATGTTTTTGACTTTTTGTTTCAGAAACTGGAGATTGCCTTGTTGCATAAAGAAGTTCTGAGCATCTCCTTGCACAACCTCAGAAAAAGCTTCATTGCTTGTGCAATGGATGGATGCTCACACAGAGCAAGTAAAGATATTGTGTATCTCCAACCATGTCTCCTTCTTCTAAGTTCCAGCCAGAGAACCTAGCAGAAGCAGCTGTGGCTAGAGATACACAATAGCTACTGGTGCTGATACGATACTCAAGAGACTATTGACCAGCTAGGAGCAGCAGCTTTCATTAACATTTCGGTTTCCATTTGATTAGAATATAAATAATGCAAGCATATCTTTTTTGAAAAAAGTTTTGGCACTCACCTTTTGAGAGAAGTTTTCGGAATTTTTGAGTAGCAGCAAGCTGCTGTTCTGGACTGTTGGAGAAAATCATCTCAGTCATATCGGATGTGATCACTGCACTCTGCAATTCCAAGGGAGGAGGGGATGAATTAAATCACATCTGTCTCAAGCTGAAAGGCAAAATTTTAGCCACTGTTCCCTGAAAAATATTTCTGAGCTTCTTAATATAAGGAGGCTGACCAAGAAAAGTAATCCCAACAACAAAAGCAGATTTTAACCATTTAAAATCTCTCTCTCTCTCTCTCTCTCTCTCTTTGCTTTTTTGGTATGTTTTATGATTATATCCCCCTTGAGCAATACTTAGTAACTGAAAATGGGATAGAGATGAAATAAGCACAGAAATAACAGAAATGTAGCAAGTCTTAATAGTAATATAATAACTTTTATTTAAATAATATTCCTTGTTTTTAGATTATGTTGCAGTAGATGCTGCCTCTGATGTCTTTCTTATCAGTTGCCACCTGTGACCTGAGGTTTTTGAAAATGGATCAACAACTTTTAATTGCCTAGTTAAAATGTCTTTAATTATTTTAATCAACCAACATAACATTACAGAGCTGATCTCTGCAGACAGACTATAGGAACTATGGTGCATGCATGTGTTTTAAAAACATCATTCATACTATATGATAGAATCTATTTTTCTCTTTTGCTTCCCACCTCTTCACAGAAACTTCTGCACAGATGATAGCCCCTTCAAAGCTACTCATCAAAGGCAGGTTTTCTTCAACATCTTAGCACCCCAGACTGTTCAAGTGAACAGCAGGAAAAAAAAACAGCAAAGGTCAGCCAATGTGTGTGGATCTTTGATGATAATCATTTGCAAACTAAACTGCTTTTATAAGCACAGGAGCCAAGTACCAGTTACAAAACTGCTGCCATACTTAGGACCCTACAATAAACTCAGGTCAAATCTTCTATGGAATATCTCATCTGTATGATCTTATTTCTTTTAAAACATTACAACATTGTGGGCCTACATGCTACTGCAGTTCATGCAGATCCTAATCAAGAATGAGAAAAGATTCTGTGAATTAACTAACATTATTTACTGTTAAACAGAATGCTGGGTAAAGAAAAAAAATGCCCAAAATTTAAAAAATTATATATCTGTAGCATAACTTAGAAAAATGAGAGGGGATACAATAAATGAGATAGTATGAGATGGCAGGTAATAAAGTCTAAATTTTAGTCTTCTAGTGCAGCGGTTCCCAAATCTTTTGGGACCGCAGACTGGCTGAGCCTCTGAGGAAGGCAGGGCACCCCTCCGCGGGCATGCACAACTCTCTCAGGCACATGCGCGAAGTGGTGGGAAAGGGGAGTGTGTGCAGGAGAGCGGGAGGTCGGTCTCCGCGGCCCGGTCCGGCTCAGGCCAAGGACCGGGGGTTGACAACCTCTGTTCTAGTATGCTCCTTCTGTCTATAGGCTTCACTTAAAATATTTGAGGAATGCTAATATCAATGGAACTGAAACCCAAAATATTTCAGTTTTGCCTCCTTTATATTTATCCAGTAAAACTGATTGGCCCAAGGTATCTGGATATACACACTGCAAGTAATCAAACAGAACTTAAGAAACAGATCCAGAGGTGGACTAAAAAGCCACAACCACTAGTTTTTTCAGAATACTACTGATAAAGCAATTTGAAAAGGGATATAAATATTAGAGATAATAGCTCACTTGCTGGATATGACATGTTTTCTTTTTTGCAAGATAAAAGTGTATGTTCTTACTAAATATACTAAGCTTGGCAATGTTTAAGTAATTTGAAGTGAATGTTCTTCTAGGGAAGCATGTTTGTGTTCACAGCCTCAAATTTTTAGTTGAATTACAGACAAAGCAAACCTGAAAGGAGTTGTCAGGCCTTTCCCCATTACTTACAGAAGTCATTTCCATGTTATTCATTTGAGTTTCGTGGAACCCACCATCTGACATAATTTCCTCCTCTCCTTCTTCATCAGCTGTAGCAACATTTCTACGTTTAAACAACTGGAAAGAAAGAGAAATACAATAAAATGACAATTAATGACACCAACAATTAGATAATACAACTGGGAACTGTAAGTTCTGAATCATACACCACATATCAATCACAATACGAGGAGCCACAGAACTGTCTGTTCCTATGGCCTATCACATCTTCTATTGCGAGAAAGAGGAGCAAAGAAGTGGACTTGTCTACAAAAGCTCACATTAAAATAAAACAGTTAGCCTTTAAGATCCCACAACATCCATCCACCCATCTATCTATCCTGTTTCCCCGAAAATAAGACCTAACCTGAAAATAAGCCCTAGCAGGATTTTTCAGGATGCTCGTAATATAATCCCTACCCCAAAAATAAGCCCTAGTTAAGTGAATCCCCACCCTCCACCATTGTGCAGCAACCAGAAGATGACATGACTGTATTTGAATAAATGTAGATTGTTGTACATAAAAAATAAATAAAACATCCCCTGAAAATAACCCCTACTGCATTTTTGGAGCAAAAATTAATATAAGACCCTGTCTTATTTTCGGGAAAACAGGGTATCTCTTTCTCTCTATCTCTCTATGCTTTGCCTGTTAAACAAGGAAAACATTAGAAACCACAGAGAATACGGTCCAGTATTGGGAGTAGAGTATATAGTATTGGGTCGATTGGAATAAAGGATAAAAGGCAATGTAACCTGATGTACAATATAGCTCAGAGAGTGTCCTCCCCCCACATTTTATAGATTTCTTTACTGAATAGGAAAGCGGACTGAAATTAGGGAGTGGAGCAAGATGAAAACAGAAAAAGCAAGAGGCATTCTTAATCGTACTACAACAGTGTTTAAAAAAAGACAGGGAAAATGGCATTGTATACCAGCTGAACATTCTAAGCATGGTATCAATTTTAAAACAACACTCCAAGAAACCCAGAGTCCTTAACAAAATTTGTGACAGAGAAGGAAACTCTTGGGTCCCTTGGAAGTTAATAAAGGATTTGTCATTACAAATATCTGTGATAAAGGATACGTTTTTCTCTGATCATCAAACAGAATAAGTGCAAGCCACTTAGGACAAACACAAAAGAACTGGTCATCATCCTGTCTAAGCTAAGTAGTACAAGCTACAATACTCCCCAATTTCACCAATATGAGGCAACTGCATATAACCTACACTGAAAGAATTCTGTCTCAAGAGATTACCAAACTCTGATAGCTGGAAGATGCAAATTTGAAACTTTCAGGTTGCCCTGTTCAAAAAACAGGCTATCGTTAAGGCATAAGCAAGAGAAAATTATTGCTTGATAAATTATTCTTAACCTGCTGTTTTTACAATTCAACTTGGCTGCTGGTATAGGGGAAAATCTCAACAACATGCTAAAATCCATTTTGTTTTATAAATTATGCAGGTGCAAACTTTCTGTATGACAGGGTCCTTCACAAGAATCTGTGACTCAGAAGGACAATTTAGCCAACTATGACAAAAGGAACTGTCGAATACCAATAACATCTACAATGTCCTCCCACATGTGTGCAGTGAACTTATCAGGACAACTCAGATGACAAATAATCCTGAGTCCAGCTGGAAGATACAACCATCTGTTTATATGCCAGTCTCCGAAGGAGAGATAACCTTCCGCTAGTGAAGGTGCATAGAATGGGATAAAATTTAGGCAGACCAGACATACAACTGAAATTCTCTTAAGATAATACCTTTGTTCCTTCCACCCTACAAGGTTAGAGAACAACGATTTAGATTCTCAGGTATCATTCAAATGAGGAAATCACATGCTAAACTGTAGAATTTCCCATTTTTGTTGTGTACAGAAGGATTCTCAAGTACCTGTTCCTCTCGTTTCTGCTTCCGTAGCTGAAGGCCCTCTTCCTCGCGTCGGCGACGCATTTCATCTGGATTCAGAGACTTATTTTTATAGCTCTTCAGTCGAAAGTTCTCTTTTCCTGAAGTCGTCATGGTTTCTAAACAATAATGACTTATGGTTGTAGTGAATTACTTGAAAATCAATAAAAATATTTCTTAAAATAAAACAAGGATCATATGACTCAAACTGACATGACATCAATTCTTATTTATTTATTTAAACTAATTATATTCTGCCTTACTCTTCAACAGTCATAAAAAAACAATATAAAAACTAGAAGAGTTTTTATTTATATTTATATAAATATAAGTTTATAAATTCGTATCTCAAAACAGAAGCCCAACTTTTAGGAAGCCACTAAGAAAAATCCTGCCTGCAAAAGGAGGGCCAGCCTGACCTTTCATGGGAGGGAGTTCCACATCTCTCTCATGCCCTCATCAAACTTTCTCTGATGATTTTAAAGCAGGTTCATATTTACCTTAATAAGACCACTACATCTTTACAGTTCTTCATTACAAAAAATACAACCTGTTAAATTCAAATGATCACGTGAGTCTCCAGGTTGTTCATGCATCTTTAATCAACCATAAGTATACTGGCTAATTCGGGAGTTCCCCCAGTTCCTCGCCAGAGTGACTCAATTTTCTGGCAAGAGATGAAAATTAGACTCCCTTCCCCCAAATTAACTTGAATGAATGAGATGGTAGATGGAAACCGCATCCTGGAGTACATAGCAGATTGCTTTTCACAATGCTGCCCCTTTCTGCAATTTTCTTGATCTTGATCATTTGGGGAACTACAGGTTTACACTATGTTTAACATTTTAAAAAATACCTGGTGATAAGATGGGGCAATACATGCTGTTAAAAGCCTGATTTCTACTAGCCTTCTTGTACCAATGGCAGTTTCTAAAACAATATCAGAGAAATGCCCACACAGAGAGCAATGTAGTAATACAGCACAGTAGTATCTGGATGGATGAACAGGGCGGGCTCATCTATTCTAGATAAAGTAACATTTGGTGAACCAGTGGAACCTGGTAACAAGCCGTTCTTGATACTAACACAACCTGAGTATCTGGAACTAACACTGAATTCAGAAAGAATTTTAAAGAGGGAATAGCTATTACTTTATAATTAGAATCCAGCTGACAGAAGCCTTCATCTCCCATAAAATTTATCTAAATTTAAAAGGCTGGTTTCTCACTGCCTTGTTGTTGCTGACATAGTTCCAATGCATGCTGGTAACTCTATGGTGTATTTTAATTGCTTTATTTATTTACTCATTAAATTTCTATCTCACGTTCTGCCAAAAATGGCCATCAAGGTAGGAGCAGTAGTAACTCAAAAAAGGCAAATAAAATTAGAATATAAGAACTGATCAAGAACACAAGCGATAAACATTCCTTATAAAGAAATGCCATGGCCAAACTGATCAATAACAGCACAGCTGAAACACCATAGTCCTGTCTGAAAAACATTTACAGTATGGGTAGTTGGGGGGGGGTAACCTCCTTTGACACAGAATTTCAGACCCTTGGAAAACACTCCCTTGTGTAACCACCAAACATAACTCAAAAGGTAGACGGGCCAGGAAACAGGCTCCCCAAAGATCTTTAAACACAGACAAACATTGGTTGAAGACTAGAATAAGTCCCTTAGATTTAAATAAAAGGAAGAGAGTGTTGGGAATCATCAACATACAAGTGGCACTGAATCCGAAAACCATGAATGCAGTCTCCCAACATGTCCTGTATATACCAAACAGCACAGGCAACAGGGCAGAACCCTGAGGTCCATCAAAGACTACAGTGGACCCTCGACTTACAGACGGCTCGACTTATAGACTTTTCGAGTTACAGACTTCGCTGGCCGCAAAATTTAGATTCGCCTTGCAGCCGGAGAATTGACTTACAGACCAGAAAAAAACCAAAAATGGAACAAAAATAGAATAAAAACTGCCAGTTATGGGATTAATCGGTTTTCAATGCATTGCAGGTCAATGGAGATCCGACCTACAGACTTTTCGACTTGCAGCCACCATTCCAATACGGATTAATTCCGTAAGTAGAGAGTCCACTGTACAGCATCAAATAAACATCTTGCACCACCACTGCCTGAATCTGAATGGAACTGATACTTGAGAGTACAAATGGAAAAACCAAGAACAGTGGAGAAATGTGTGCAGTATTGTGAAAGAGGATGTGACCAAATGGCTCTGCAACCATATATGTCTATTCAAAACAAAGTCTCACTAGCCAGAATCCTGTAGGATTTGCATACTAATCTTCCAAATCAGTAAGCAGTGTGTACAATATTGCTGCTATATGTTGCAGACTTGGACATGTTCAGGATGCACACTTGGGCATGGGATAGATAGTAAAAAAAAAAGCACCAACTGCTTCTGCAGTTTTATTTGTGTACACAGAGTTCTGGACCCAAAGGTTAAAATGAAAAGTAAGTAAGATATGTAGGGATGTAATTATACCCTGTTATATCCTGAAGCAGTTGAGGAGGAACCCTTAAGAGAAAAAGACCATATCATTGGCCACACCTCCAATTCGGTTTGCATATCCATGCCCTGGAACTATCTGGTTAGGTTGGATTGTATTCCTTTCACACCCCAATAGGTTGTACCACATTAAGGTAATCTTTGACGGGGCAACTTGTTTAACGATGTTTGCAAATGCAGTAAGACTCCTGTTGATCTGTTGAGAGACACTTACTTTATTTTCCTATCCTAACTCATATACTGCATATATGGATATAAGACTTCACTTTCATATTCATATAGCATGGATTTTCCCTTTTTAAATAATGCTGGTCCTTATAATGATTTATCTGAATATTAGTTCCAAATTGCTTTGTGACTGAATGATTCAAAATGGATACATTTTTAGGAACTATCAAAACTTTATATTAGGTACTCCAAATAGTCATGCAAGCAAAAGCTTGAACTATTTTGCACCTAGATCTATATTTCACCCACATGATTTCTGTGTTGAGAAAATCCACCTAAACATGATCAATCTGCAGACAACTGTTTGTTAGTCTGGCTGCTCTACAAACAATATGACAACCTTCAGAAGACAGGCACAAATGAATGAATGAATATCTGGCATACACTACTCACTGTTACAGTCTTTGAAAAAAAATGGTGTAATGTTAAATTTAATTGGGGACCAAAAAAAACCCCCAACATTTCAGTCATCCAACAGGAACCTTGGAACTACTAAACTAATTGTCTGAAAACAAAACAAAAATTGGAGTAAAAATAACAATTTTCATGCTTCACTTGTCTTGTTCAAACATATCTTTTAAAACTGAGTATATCAATTTAACAATTTATTAATGTTGACATGATCAAAAATTCTGAATTTTTCCCAGTATTTCCTTTCCCTTCCCATTTCTACTCATGTTGCAATATTAATAATATATATCTATTTACATGTATCTATTAAACAATACACTGCACTGACAGGACTTAGCCCCTGCCCCCCACGTATTTAGGATTTCAACTTAAGGCGCCCTGAAACTCATCTGGATAGCTTATTAGCCATGTCTCAGATCTGGAAAAATTGCTCTCTGAAGCACCAGTAAGGAACAAATTTCATTACTTAAAAATGCATCATCTGCAAGTAAAAAGCATTTCCGATTAACCTAACCCATCTGAAGTCCCTATATTGCTGGATCCTCACTTACTACAAAATGCTTCATCCATGAAGAAGGCCAAGGAGTTAATCCTAAAGACACAAGGTGTGTTGGTCTCCACCTACTTATTAACACAGTGAGTTGGACTGACAGACTAAAGAGGCATCTCTTGTCAGAAAAAAAACAGGTCCATCAAATATACCAGAGGGAGGCAGGAAAATAATAATAATAATAATTTACTCAGCTATTCCCCCAGTAGTACACTGACTTTCCACTTATAACGTTCAATCACAAGAGATGACGGCGAAGACCTTTGCCCTCAGCCCACTCGCAGGCGGCGTGGCCGACCCGCCCCCTCCCCTGGACCGTCTGATGCTGCACCCAGCACTTTCCTGGGGCCTCCAGCGATACCACCCTCCCCACACCGCATCATCCTAAACGCAGAAGGGCGATTAGAAGAAGAGGAGGCGGCGGCGCAGGAGCAGCAGCAGCTCCTACCTACCCGCTCCTGGGTCGCTCCGTGACACTTCTCTGCCCCGCCCACCGGCCCTGTCGGCCAGCAGCTCCCCGGGGGCGCCTCCCTGTCATTCCGGACCCACAGGCCGGGCGCTTGGTCGGCCGACACCCTTCCTCCCC